TGTGTGTGTGTGTGTGTGTGTGTGTGTGTGTGTGTGTGTGTGTGTGTGTGTGTGTGTGTGTGTGGGAGCAGCACACAAGTCCTGACGATTTGAGGTGTGGGCGGGAAGCCGATTCAAGACATCAAACAGACTTCTCATCAAAGCCTTCGTCTTCCACTCAGAAGTCGTATGCATTTTTAATGCAGCCTGAGCTGTGATGCTGCAGGATTTACTGTTGCTCTGTGTGTGAGGTGATGTGAGACATCACCTGTGTGATGTTATTAATCCCCCAACAAAACTCCTTCACTGACATGGACGCGCGACACTGATTTTTAAAAGACAGCGTGAGCTGATCTTGATTTTCTTGCATCACATCGGCGCACACGTAAGGCCTCCGGTATGAGGAAGCTGTCAAACTGGATTCTCTGCATGTTGAAAATCTGGTTTGGAAACTTTGATCGTCATGGGCAAACACCTCTGTCAAATTGAAAATATTGGACTTATCTTTGGTGGCTTGAGGTAAGACTGTAGAGTGCTTTTTTTAAAATTAGAAATCAGCAAGTAAAAGCTAATCTCTGCGTGTGATCAGATAGCAGAAAGTGGTATGACCTACAGCTCATACCAATATTTTATACTAACATTATATTCTCTCAAATATAGATTCAGTTTATGGTGGGGAGGCATACATGTACAGCTCTTTGAGCAATTTTGTAAGTTTTTCCTCTGCAAATACATTACTGATCGGTATGAGTGCTAGCTTCTTCAGTGAGTCTCTCCCCTGCGGATGAAGTCCAGCTCCCCCATCTTGGACTGCAGTGGTCTGAGTTGTGCTCTGCAGCCTTGGTGAGATTGTTGTAGCAGTGCATGGTTGTGTTTACTGTGCCCTCCAGAGCAGGAGGAGCACTATTGATGTGAGCTGGAGTCTAAGAAGTTTGAGCTGAAATATGTCCAACCATTTGGCAAAAGATCCACTGGAGGGGAGGGGATCATGTGGGCGGGGAGGGCTGGGGTGAGCTGAACTTTCTTTTTTT